TTACTCAACTGACAAAATCCAAAGCGGCATCCGTAATGCAATCGGCTCTGACTTGGCAACCCGACACCAATCACTTTCTCACCGATGTGGCGTGGCTTCCCTCTGCCTTTTCTACACATATTTTCCTGGCAACCGCACTGACGAGCTTTTCCCCTGGTTCCCTGATTAATTTAAGCGTGCTACTAGATTGGCATCTAGGTCCCACCCTTTTAGTGTTGAACTCGCTAAATGCGACTCAATAGTTTCTATTCTCGCAATTTCTCGCTTGTGGAACTACCTTCCGTTAATTGGCTCCCCTGATACACTATTTACATTATTCGGACTATTGTCCTCATCTTTGTCGCCATATGCAAGAACCCCCACCCCACCACCACCCGATAGAGGAGAACATGACTAAAGGCTGTGTGTACGCTATCCCGTGCAGGTGCGGAAAGAAATATAAAGGGGGAGACAAGGTAAGGCTTCAAGAACACCAGAAAGCTGTAACACGAGGGGAAGCGGAAAAATCAGGCATGGCTGACCACATATGGAGAGAGAAGGGAGACCATCGCTCTCTGCGGGATCAGGTTGAGATCACAAAGAAAGAACACCATTGGAAAATTCGTAAACTTAAGGAATCAGCACATATGCTAGGCCACAAAAATCTCCTGAGCCGACCAAGCATAGAAATAAATACAATATGGGAACCAGTAATAAGGAGTGCCAGAGAAAAGCAATGATAACAACATAGTTGCAATATTAGCTCTGGCAAAAACATGTAATGATAACGGCAAAAATTGCAATATGAGCACTGGTAAAAATGGTTGCTGAAGACATTAGGTTTATAAAAGCCCAGAAATTCATAGCCAGATGTCCTCAAGGAGACATGGCACAGTGGATAAAGGTGTTAGTTAGATCCAGTGACAGGACCCAAAGTTGTGAGTTCAATACCCGGTTAAGAGGGAAATTAGCAACTAGCCATCAAAACATGGCACGTGGAACTAGAACAGTCTACCCCAGTGAGCGAAATAAAGGGTTCAGTTAGACATTCCAATCACCTGAGCGTACATATGTGATAAATATGGTGACAATGATGAGGACAATAGTCCGAATAATGAAAATAATGTACATAATACCTCATCTCAGAAATATAGACAGATACTGAAGGGCCGAAATGTTGTAATAAATATGGCGACAAAGATGAGGACAATAGTCCGAATAATGTAAATACTGTTCATAATACCTCATCTCAGAAATAGAGGCAGATACTGAAGGGCCGAAACATTGTAATAAATATGGCAACAAAGATGAGGACAATAGTCCGAAAAATGTAAATAATGTACATAATACCTCATCTCAGAAATATAGACAGATACTGAAGGGCTGAATCGTTGTAATAAATATGGCGACAAAGATGAGGACAATAGTCTAAATAATGTAAATAATGTATATCATACCTCATCTCAGAAATATAGACAGATACTGAAGGGCCGAAACGTTGTAATAAATATGGCGACAAAGATGAGGACAATAGTCTAAATAATGTAAATAATGTACATCATACCTCATCTCAGAAATATAGACAGATACTGAAGGGCCGAAACGTTGTAATAAATATGGCGACAAAGATGATGACAATAGTCCGAATAATGTAAATAATGTACATAATACGTCATCTCAGAAATATAGACAGATACTGAAGGGCCGAAACGTTGTAATAAATATGGCGACAAAGATGAGGACAATAGTCCGAATAATGTAAATAATGTACATAATACCTCATCTCAGAAATATAGACAGATATTGCTTCCCTGGTAGCTACAATCTTCAAGAATTTAAATGCAACGTCAATCGTCATCTTCTATCTCCTTGAATCACTTTCATCAATCCTCCCTAAAATTTTTTCTCTCACTTTCACTCCATGTAACCCCCTGTATTTCAGCAGGGCATATCGAGGAAAACAAGTTTTCAATGTATTTGAGCATCTAAGGTTTCATGAAAGCTAGTATTGCATTACAATGGGGTGTGGGTAATTCAACGCGGTGTAACGGTTGATCAATTACAACTGAATGGTGAGTTCGATCCCTAGTGGGTGCCTCACACTTTTGGCTTTGTGTCACATCTAAGCTACACTTACAATGTTGTAGGAAAAAGGTACTATATATATCTGTGTGTGTTTGTACGTGTAAAAATTCAGATGTGGATAAAAAATAACTTTAAAATAGGAAACATTTTCTTTACAAACGCGCTTCGTACCCTGAAGGATATTAGCAATAATTTATTGAACATTATATATATCTATCTATTGAGCGTTTTTTGAGACCAGAGGTACTGGTAGCCTTTATATATATATATATATATATATATATATATATATGTGTGTGTGTGTGTGTGTGTTTATCTAAATTGCTAAAACTATACCACCCGTCTCCTTCCTCCAAAAACCCTACGTACATCACATATCTCTTATCTCTTTATTTTCCCCTCTTTTTTTCTTCTTCGTTTTTTCTTTTTTTCTCCTTTTCCTTTTCCCCATATCACTTCCGTTGAGTTGACCGATTAAATAGGTCAATGTCTGATCCTTACCAACTCCTTCCTCAATATTAAGTATTGTAATAAAATATTAAGTGTTATAATAAAATATTAAGTATTATAATAAAAAGAAATTTAAAAATAAATTTTAAAACTCACCCTTCCCGCTTCTAAATTCGACCATGTCTCTCACACTATTCCTCACCACGTTCTATGTCAAATTATATAAGCTTAATACTGCCCGTCAAAAGTGTATATTTTAAATTCATTTTTCTTTTCACCTTTGAAAGGTTTGATGATCCAGGGAAAAATAAAATTCTCTGGTGAAATAACTTATACCTAATGGAGGATTAAACGCCCCTTTCTATTTCCAACAATGTGTATTACATCTATGGATCTGTGCACTCGAGAAATCGTAGTAGGTACAATGTGCTCACCACCAGGGCCCGAACCTGCGTGTAATCCACACTGTTCAAAAATATACACAGTTACCCACTAAAACTAACGTTATTTAGTATAATATATATATATATATATATATATATATATATATATAAACAAAGGGGTATTTTTTATATACCAGCACATCTCATTTTAGTTAAGGGCCATACGTGATATACGGTTGGGTAATCATGTCTCTCTCAGTTCATGGCTAACGACTGACAAGGCGGAAGATTTTCCTGTAATTTCATTCCGCGGTAGACTGGTTGCTTACTGAGGCTGTAGACTGTCCTGCTATTCAACCCATAGCTCGGGGGGAAAGAAGAGATAGATTAATACCATTCCCAAGCGTAAGTGATTGGGACGAACTCGGTTGGAATCCGAATTTGGCTCTCCGATTACTCGTTATGAACCGATAGCCATTACACCACAACGCACATTAAGGAATTTTATCAACGTAAACGTGGAGATTCTCTTTCTTAAACTTGTATTTTTACACAAATGGTAAGAATTATACTTTATATAGGGTGACCCCCAAAAAACGGGAACATTTTAACAATCCAATAAAACCAAGAGTGATGGAAGAAAAATACTTTATTCATAGTAATTGAAACCTTAAAATATGCCATTTAAGAAACAATGATGGAATTTTCATTTTTTTAAAATTACGTCCTGTAGATGGCGTCCTCCTGTACGAATGCATTCTTGAAATCAGCTGTTGAGATTCCTCATTGACTGCTGCAACATCTCAGCTGGGATACTGTGAATTTCATCTTGAATTCTAAATGGCGAAATGTTTACTTGCTCAAGGTCATTGTCTCGCAGTGTTGCCACTTGTTCATGTCTGAGTGTCTCAGTGATATTGAGCGCTTATTATTGTATATTATATATAGATATATATATTTTATATATATTATTTATATATTATATATGCGCGGTACTTATTGAAAAGCGCTCAATATCAGTGATAGAATTAGCATATTTAGTTGGATTGATGTCAGTTTGTCACTCTAGATTTCTCGCTATTTGCGTTTGTCTGACGATCGCAAATAGCGTGAAACCCAGGGTGACAAATTCACATCAATCCAACTATATATATATATATATATATATATATTTACAAATTCATGAATTATTCATACAAAAAACAAATACAAAGGTTAATGATTTAATTGGCGAAAATCCATCATCACGAACAATTCAAATAATATACAAAACCCCGAACCTGTTTAAAAATAATAAGAACATTGTTTATAAATTTCATTGCATAAGTTCTTATTATTTTTAAACAGATTTCGTCTGTTCCTTGACATCCTCAGGTATTTGAAAATTGTTCGCGATGATGGATTTCGCCAATTAAATCATTAACCTTGTATTTGTTTTTGTATGAATAATTCATGAATTTGTAAATTAATTGCACCTTTATTGAAATATATATATATATATATATATATATATATATATATATATATATATATAAATTGAGTAAATGTTGTTTAATCGTAGAAAATATACGTATTTCTTAGTTTGAGATTAATTTATCTATCACATAGAACGATTTTGTTAAAATTTATATTGTCAGGTATATTGATTGTTTTTCCACAGATATATTTTTCGTTAAATCCAGGTTTTGCACGTACACAATTATACATAGACATACATATATATATATATATATATATATATATATATATATATATATATATATATATATAATTAAATAATTAAAAAATAGACTTAAGTTTCCATGACTACAATTTATTCAAACAGAAAATATATCTTTCCTGGTACATCAGGTCACATATCTAGTTATATCTAGTTATATATATATATATATATATATATATATATATATATATATATATATATATATATATATATATATATATATATATATATTATATAATATATACTGTATATTGTTTTCGTCCTCTGTCTCGTCTGGCTGAATGAGAATAGAGTGTACACGAAATAGGAAAGAGACAGAAAAGAATCGAGGATTTCCTGAAGGAAAACGAACGTAGATATGAGTAACGAGTAACTTGCAGCGAAATATACAAAGGGAGACAACTGCTACACGACTCAAAGGACTCCTGTTGTGTTTAATTATGAGGTGGGATATGGACACAGTTTGAAATCTATCTATCTATCTATCTATCTATCTATCTATCTATCTATCTATCTATCTATCTATCTATCACGGTCTCTTCCTTTTCCAAATATGATTTTGTTCATATCTATCTATCTATCTATCTATCTATCTATCTATCTATCTATCTATCTATCTATCACGGTCTCTTCCTTTTCCAAATATGATTTTGTTCATATCTATCTATCTATCTATCTATCTATCTATCTATCTATCTATCTATCACGGTCTCTTCCTTATCCAAGTATGATTTGTTCATATCTATCTATCTATCTATCTATCTATCTATCTATCTATCTATCACGGTGTCTTGCTTATCTAAATATTATAGATTTGTTCATCTCACTCTCTCTCTCTCTATCTCTCTATCTATCTATCTATCTATCTATCTATCTATCTATCACGGTCTCTTCCTTATCCAAATATGATTTTGTTCATATCTATCTATCTATCTATCTATCCTATCTATCTATCTATCTATCTATCTATCTCCCTTATCTAAATATTATAGAATTGTTCATCTCTCTCTCTCTCTCTCTCTCTCTCTCTCTATCTATCTATCTATCTATCTATCTATCTATCTATCTATCTATCTATCTACCTATCACGGTCTCTTCCTTATCGAAATATGATTTTGTTCATATCTATCTATCTCTCTATCTATCTATCACGGTCTCTTCCTTATCGAAATATGATTTTGTTCATATCTATCTATCTATCTATCTATCTATCTATCTATCTATCTATCTATCTATCACGGCGTCTTGCTTATCTAAATATTATAGATTTGTTCATCTCCCTCTCTCTCTCTCTCTCTATCTATTACGTTCTCTTCCTTATCCAAATATTATAATTTTGTTCACATCTATCTATCTATCTATCTATCTATCTATCTATCTATCTATCTATCTATCTATCTCAGCCTGTTCATGTTTATCCCCCTGTTTTCTCTCCCTCCTCTCTCTCTCTATATATATATATGTGTGTGTGTGCGTGTGTGTGTGTGCGGGTATAATTTGAATTTGCCTCGAGAAGGTTTCAGACACTTTATCCTTTCTTCATAGAAAAGGGAGGTTACAATATTCCTGCTATTAGGAATATTATTATTATTATTATTATTATTATTATCATCATCATTGTATTTTAATCAATACATTCATATACAAATCACAGAGCAGTCTCCATGACAATTATTTTTAATGATGAACGTAATTATCATTGCTTATAAATCATTTCTTATTTATTGTCGTAGTTAAACCGCTGTTAGTACAGAAATGAAATTATTCTTATTTCTGTTAGCCAAAATCAATAAAGCATATTAAAAACTACTTTGTCTTTTCTTTTACTGTTTTTAATGATTTTCCATCGCATTGTATTCTTTGTGATTGTAAGCGAACATTTGCTTTAAAAGACTTATTTTATTTTCTTACAAATAAACAGAATCATTATTTTCTTACGTGTTTTCCCTTGAAACGCTTCGAGTCATCCCGTGACCTCTTTGATTGTAAACGAAAATTCGATTGTTTCATTCTACAAAATACAATGCGTTTTGCTATCATCATGATCGTCTTTACCAGAATTGTGGCTTCCTCCTTCCTTCTTTGCAATTACGTCCGAAATATTCGTTTTCTTTTCAATGATTTCAAAATATGCGTAAAAGACTTCCTCAATCACGGGTTATCAAAACGTCAGCCATTATGGGCAGTGACAAAATTGAATTTGGATTTTAATTAAATTTGATGCCGGTTACATAATTACTTCATTCTGATCGTTACCTCTCAGCCTTTCGACTGGGACATGTTGCATAGTTAAGCAACTCGGAATGAAAATTTAAAATGGGAAACGAATATTTAAATTCTACAGTTATTATATTTTATTGTTATGCGATCTTACCCATAATAATAATAATAATAATAATGGACTATTCCATACTTAATAAATACTACGTTTCAGGAGTAGGCAAGGAATGAGTCAGTAGTTCACTTTTGAACCGACTGCTCGGTTTGAACTCTCTTCCTACGGGCGGGAGGAACCCGAAGGAGGCTACGCCGAAGGGCGGAGTCTCCTTCGGGGAGGTAAAACCGGCCCTGAACCCGTTTATACGGGTTCAATGGGCATATTTTTGGCCGAGCCCATGGGCTCGGAGATCCCACGTTAAACCGGCCTTGTGCCACATGACGCCATCGTGGTGGGGTGACTGAATATAGTCAGTAGTTCAGGTCGAGTCAAGAGTCGAGTCAGAGGCAGTCCAAAACAGATTCGCGTTCAGACAATTACTACAAGACATTGGAATAGTGATACTGGTCGAGACTACATTGTTCTCTCTATTAAACCTGATTGTTCATGCTAACACTTTCTACCTCTCTGTATATATTCCTGTTTATAATATATCTGTGTTATTCCATATCCGTGTTCGAGTTCTTCTTTATTGGTTCTACCTTGGACCATCACCGTGATACATGGAACCGGACCATAACATTTATAAATGATAATGCCATTGGAGTAATCTAGCAGATTTTACATGGAAGATAGAGAATTGGATTTTTCTGATTTTCTTTAAAACAGCGGCCTTGTATGCGGAAAATTTTATGCATGCTTCTGTTGATTTTGGCGAATAAGGGCGAAAGGGACTGGATCTCTAGAATGTAAACAGGTTAATTATTTGGACGGAAGATTGTAGAGGTCCAGTCACCATATAAGGAAGAACTAATACAATTGTGTACGGCGTTCCAGAAAGTTTGTAAAAGGTACAGGTTCTTCACAAGAAGAAAGAAAAAAAGAAAGAAAGAAAGAAAGAAAGAAGGAGACTGTATGAGGAAGGGCCTAGAAAAAGGTGATATACTTAATGGAGAAAGAAAGAAGAAAGAAAGAAAGAAAGAAGAAAGAAAGAAAGAAGAAACAAAGAAAGAACGAAAGAAAGAAAGAACGAAAGAAAGAAAGAACGAAAGAAAGAAAGAGACTATATGAGAAAGAGTATAGAAAAAAGTAATGTATTTAAGAAAGAAAGAAAGAAAGAAAGAAAGAAAGAAAGAAAGAAAGAAGGAGACTATATGAGGAAGGCCATAGAAAAAGGTGATATATTTAATGGAGAAAGAAAGAAAGAAAGAAAGAAGAAAGAAAGAAAGAAAGAAAGAAGAAACAAAGAAAGAACGAAAGAAAGAAAGAGACTATATGAGAAAGAGCATAGAAAAAAGTAATGTATTTACTAAAGAAAGAAAGAAAAAAGAAAGAAAGAAAGAAAGAAGGAGACTATATGAGGAAGGCCATAGAAAAAGGTGATATACTTACTGAAGAAAGAAAGAAAAATAAATCAATAAATAAATAAAGAAAGAAAGAAAGAAAAAGTGTTATGTACTGAAAGACATTGAAACGAGAAGGGTTAATACCAAAAAAAAAAAAAACAGTGGGAATAATTGAGGATTTAATTCGCACATAAACGACTTGAATTGTATGTCGATCGGTTTGAATAATGGAAAAATGACCCAGAGTTAGGGGGGGGTAATGTTGATTGACACGCAGCTGTAAATGCAAGCAGTAAAGCGAAAATTTCATTTTTCGTAAACAACAAATTTTATAGTTGATTCCCCTGGTCGAAAGTTAAGTTGAACTACCAGGAGTGGGTGCAAAAGTCACCCACGCTCACTGAGGAGATTTAGTGAGAGGTAATAATGTGTGAGAGTGGAAGAAAGGAACTCCCCAGAATTATCGGATTCTCTTTCTTCGCCAAGACTCCCAACACCGCGGCTGGTGGCTGAAGTGACCCCTTTCAATCCAGAGATAACCTTATTCCACGTTGTCCATAAATACGAATGGGCGAAGCGAATGTGGCAGAAGAGACGGAGACGAGACCAGAGACAGGAAAGAAGACCATGTGATTCTCTGCCGACGAAATCTTCCGACTTCAGCCTTGTGCCAAACTTTACCAAAGCAGCAAAATTAAACTTTGCCAACTCAACAATGATAATATGACTTCTGATTTAAATGCACGTTGGGCTGATAATTAATTACATGCGAACTCTGATATAAACCAATTATTGTACGGAGAACTGATATGAAAACAGTATTTACTTTTGTGCAATTTATTCAAGTCTTATTATTTTCTCTGTACGTCATCGCCCTTCTCCAACATAAAGATACCTGCGACGATTTGATGTTGACTGCCTTATGATCAAACTTAAATGACAACGTGGGATAAGGTTAGCTCGGGATTGAAGTGGTCACTTCAGTCAACAGCCGCGGTGTTGGGAGTCTTGCACGACCTCACCGGTCGTCCAAGACTTCCACACCGCGGATGGAGATTGGTACTTGATGGGGAATAAATCAAGATAGCCACAGTTAAAGAGTTCGTAATTGATTACAGTCTAAATTATGGATATAAGACAAAAACGGCGGCAGGAATTTTGAAGAGTCGACACGATTTCCTTGCCCAGATTCCTTTTACAGGCTAGGACGCACGGGGCGAAATGCTACCTCCTAGAATCGGTGACATCATTCTGGTGGTGTTTGTACGATCAATTATTATTATTTGACATCGAGTCACTTGGCCCAAGGTTGGAAATAATCCGGGTTTGGTGACCTAGTGTCTTCGTTTTTTGAAGAGTTTGTCCCAGTGACAGATTTTTTGGCCCCAGACTGATTCCTCTCTGGTTCCTTGTTGACCCGGGTGACGAAAGAAAGAAAGAAAGAAAGAAAGAAAGAAAGAAAGAAAGAAAAAAAAAGAAAGAAAGAAAGAAAAAATCAACCAGAAAAGAACATAATTTAGTACAATATATTAAACAATACAAGGACAAGAATGTGATGATGTCTGTTTCTGTTAACATGGATGATTTCCAAGCTTAGATTGGATTAAAAAATATGTATCAATATTGTGATTTTCTTTCTTCGTTTAATGATAATGTTATTAAGCTTGTCAGACGTTATGAAAAGAATTGACATAAAATAAATAGGCAACACTTGTCTATATTATATCAACTTCATTGTTTACGAGAAATGTAATTTTCATAAAATAAAGCGAATATGAGAAAGAAATCCTCCTTTGTTAATGCTGTCTATGGTGTAGAGTTGGGGTGGGGTCCAGAAGAACTGAGGCCAGTTGCGACACGGAACGCAAAAAAATGAACCCAGTTTTTTTTTTCAGAGACAAGCAACGTTTACACAATGCATAACCTGAAGAAGACAGGCATACTGTCGAAATATTGTTAAATAATTTACCCTTTCTGGAAATCGTGATCTCCTGGAAATATTATAATTATGTGTGCCATTAGCTTCCTAGAGGCCTAAAAACCGATTCAATCCAGAGTTTATGAGTTTATATCCAAATAAAAAAAAACATATGTCTTAACAGTGAATGTAACACGTTAAATCGCCCTACTAGGAACATCCCGTATACTAGGTTTTATGGGATCTTACCCATAATAATAATAATGGACTATTCCATGCTTAATAAATACTGCGCCTTAGGAGTCAGTCAGTAATTCAAATCGAATCAGTCAGTCGAGTCAGAGGCAGTCCGAAACAGAATGGCGTTCAGACAATTACTGCAAGACATTGGAATAGTGATACTGGTCGAGACTACATTGTTCTCTCTACTAAACCTGATTGTTAGTACTAACACTTTTCTATCTCTCTGTATATATTCCTGTTTGTAATATATATCTGTGTTATTCCATATCCGTATTCGAGTTCTTCTATTGGTTCTACCTTGGACTATCACCGTGGTACAAGGAACTGGACCATAACACTAGGAAATTTATTTATCTATTTATTATTATTATTATTATTATTCTCACGTCGCACTTTAATATAGTCTGTGGAAATTATGTTCTTGGGGTTGGTATCACGAAGACGAATTACTGTTCAAGACGTCAAGGATAAATGAGGGCAGTTTTCATGAGGTCTTCAACATTGGTCACAATTCCAATTCTACCAAATCACTTCTTCAGATTTCTAGATGGTGTTCCAAGCGCACCAATTTCTACAGGAAATCCTTCAACAATCATGCTCCGTAGCTTTTTCAGCTCCTTAGCAAGATCCTGGCATTTCTTCAATCGTTTCAGTTTCTTTGGAGTTCACCCATGGAACGGCAAACATAACCCATTATCAAAGATGACAATTAAAGTACAATATATTAAAAAATACAAGGACAAGAATGTGATGATGTCTGTTTCTGTTTACATGGATGATTTCCAAGCTTAGATTGGATTAAAATATATGTATCAATATTGTGATTTTCTTTCTTTGTTTAATGGTAATATTATTAAGTTTATCAGACGATATGAAAAGAATTTACATAAAATAAATACACTTGTCTATATTATTTAATGAAACATGTATGAATGAAAAAATGCTGCCTAAACACACACACAATATATATATATATATATATATATATTATTTAAAAATTATAACATAAATATGTTATGAAATCACTTTTATTCTACATTCAACATCATCACTTGATAAGACACCGGAGGTGTTGAAACAAAATGGCTATTTTTGTAGTGATTTTATAACATATTTATGTGATAATTTTGTAGTAATTTTATAACATATTTATGTTATAATTTTCGAATAAATAATTATATCTGCTCTACTCTGTATTTAGCACTCTTTTAAGAATAGTAATTGTTGGTTATTGGAATTTATCCCGTATACACCAATCCTATACTTGGGTACACACACACACACACACACACACACACACACACACACATATATATATATATATATATATA